CTCTCAAAGCTGTCTCGGCACGTCGCTAGCTTGTCCTCCTCACTTTTTTCAGTGGATTAGTTGTTTCTGATCTGACGTACGAGTTATATTAACAGTTTTTGACTCGCCAAAAAAATGGCTTATATAATTTCTTTCGTGTAAAACATCAAATATTTTTTTAGATGTAGAATCAAAGAACACTAAAAACTGATGTTGCTAGAAATATTTTTAATCACACACTTTACAAAAACTTCTTAGCAACAAATTATACAGTCAAGGTTCAGAGCTGAAACATATTGCTAGACGCCATTCTTGCCAATGAATCTTCGTTTTAGGCTGATAATAATATCTGTTTTTCCAGTTGAACTCAATTCAAGATAGCTTTATTTTGGAAGGAATTGTTTATCTGCAGCTGAAAGGTTTTCCTTTACGGAACGACCTTCAACTCAAGAAAATGTGCCATTTTCTGAATCATCACTGCTAAGGATTCTTCAATTCTCCATTAGTGTAATAATAAAACTTCTGTTTTGCTTCTTTCCGCAGTTCATCTGATAGTAAGTCATTTATTTCATCCGATTCAAACACTGAATTAAAGGTTCACATATGTTTGACTAAAAAGCGTTTTTTAGATGGTTTTTGCAAATCTACTTGAAGTGACTATAAATCGATTATTACCTCGAAACAGGCTACTTCTTTTTAGTAAAAAGATACCTGTGTCAAAATGCCTCTACTAGCGTGAAAATTTTGCTGTACAGTTGTCTCTTCAAAAAAAAACAATTTTTTGAATAAGGTGTGAAAGCACGCGAGATTTATCAAGTGATGTGATAGGTTAAATCTAAAGTGGAAATGACAATTATTCCCGCAGATTGTCAGAAGCCTTAACTTTAGCTTATTGCGTTATCACCGAATACGAAAGTTGCAATACTTGAAAAACTACACTCGTTACAAAACTAGGCTGCAACCTGTCATAGTTCCACAAAAGTCGTGCGTTTTTTTTTCGTGAATGTTTCATGCTGTAAAGTTTGTTACGATTGCACGACAATGGTAATTAGTACTCACATCTACTTTACACGTGATAAAAATGATAACCAATTTATGATTTGCTTTCTCGTCTAACAGAGCAGGACGTAAACTAATGTAACTTTTATTTTACAGGAAGCTCTTTATCACATGGAAAAGTATTCTGGAAGATCACTAACTGTATGAAAATAACAGTTTGTTAATGAAATTTACTGTTGCAGAGTAGTAGAAAAGAGTGATTTCAGTCGAATAAAAGTGCTCTATTTCTTTGATTCAGATTAAAAATCATTCACCGTCACATTCGCTTGGTTTTGGGAAGAACCGTAATTCAAAAGTACTGTTCTCACCCCCCATCAATGACAGCAGACTTCCACATCGGTGTAAACTGTGGGTTAAGCTGTTGACAAAAAAATTTTTTTTTATTCTCGTTTGTTTTCATACTTCTTTTTCTAGTCAGCAAATTGTCTGTGTACATTTATTTCTGTTGCTTTCTAAGCTTATGTCGTATATTTCCACCCATGGTTTTCTACTTTTAATTTTTTACTCAAGATTCTTGCTGGTGAATGGCTTAAAAATAAAGCAAATGATACATCTGCTTCAATATCTTCGTATCTTTGAAAAGATGGTCATTTCATGAACAAAATTTAAATAATAAGATAATAATAATAAGAAGATATCCAGTGACTACACAAGCAATAAAAAAAACCAGCAAAAAGTGAATGGTACCTCTGACAACTGTTCAGCGACTCGTCAGTAATTCTTCTATGACTCTTTACCATTTTATACATTCACAAGACAGATAGTTTTTTAAAAGTAGTCACTGACAGAAATTTACACAAATTGCTTTTCTAGCGCAAAATAGTTCTGCCGTAAATTCGTAAACTTTAAAAACAATGTAAAATACAGATTACGTAGTAAAAAAAGTAACTAAAAAGGTGCAGAGTGAAAGTGTTATAAACGATGATAATTAATCAGTCCCACATGACCGTCTACAGTGTCTCATTGAAATTGATGTCAATTTTGGTCACAGCAGTTTTTAGGCTTCCAGACTGACAGCTGCAGCAATAATGCATCAATTTTACGTAAAATGCTAAAAATAAGCCAAAAACAAGAAAAAAATATCATTTTTATAGGTTTGAAAAAATATTTTCTTTTTTAAATTACATACCTACAAGTCGCTTTTTAATCTTCTCACTTTTGACAACTGTTTTTCCTTTGATATAGGTAATTTTGGTAATCAAATATAGTATTTGATTTTTTACCCTAATTATACCTGAAATAACCACAAAAAAATAACAACCACAATTATACGAGAATAAGTTAGTCAAAAGCGAATTTATCCGCAGAAATAAATCTGAATGTTTCTGCCTTATGTGGCTGATATCTATAAACTTCAACAGTAATAGATTTCTAAAGCGACAATTTTAGTGCATTTGCAGTGCGAAAAACGTGTTATTGAATTTTTTACATTAAGTAAAAAATGTTTTTTTTGCTACACTTCTTTCCCAATTCAGTTTCTTTTTTCTGAATTTTTCTAAATATCCTTACTTAAGGCAATCAATGCAAAGAAAAAATTTGTTTTTTAAAAAAACAGTAAAATAGCCACAAATTTTCACACTACTGTGGAAATTTTTTTGTAAAAAAATAATTAAACCGTACAAATCAATAACATTCAAACTGTCAGTAAAAAACTTCCACTAATTTTTCCATACAAAAACTCTTAGTCATTTTCTAATAAAAAAAATTTTTAGGTCAAAACATTTTTCAACTTTCCACATAACTGACGTGAAGACACTGACAATCACCCAGTTCAATTAAAACTCCCATTTTACGGCTGTCAGTTCACCTAAAAACAATATCACCAGTAGTAAAGTGACTGCAAAACCGCTATAATAAATTATTGTATTTTATATACTGTCTCTTAATAGACCCAACAAATAAAACTCCGCTATAAAACGAGAAACTTTTTTAAAAGACTTTTACTTTATTTGAATTTAGAAAAAAAAATTATGCTGTACACAGATGATAGTAAAAGTAAGAAATGACAAACTTTGACTTTTAAAATCATTCTTCTAACAGTCTCGCTCAAACTGTTCGAGAACTACTAATTTACCT